CGGCTGCAAAGCATCCGAAACATCGGGTCGTAGTTAAAAATAATTTTCAAATTTTTTTAAGTAATATATATCGCGTTTTAAAACGTTAAAGTGTTTTATTTAAATGTTCTAGGCCATATAACATCTTCATTATATAAATTGTGTAAAGCTTTCGTGGCCATCCTTCAGCATTTCATTGTTTTTCGGGCTGTTCGGCCGACGTAAGCGGGAAGAGGCTCTCGACGTTTCGCCATCAAGAGCAGACAGTATAATCTGGTGAAGTTGTTAGGTAATTGTTAGCGAAACCTCGAGAACCTCTTCTCGCATACATCGGCCGAACGGCCCGAAAAACAAAGATATGTTCATTATAATATGTTATAGGACCTTACACCATGTTATCTGTCCTCTGTCATTCTACTATGTAAACCCGTATCTTTAAACAACAGTTATATTAAATTATATATATATATATAATAATTTATAAAAAAAAAAAAAAAAAAAAAAAAATGTATATATATATTATAATTTACTTGTTCCCATTGTTAATAGTGAAACTACAAATAGGTTATTTATGATTTCATAAGAACCTAAAAGGAAATTTGTGACATAATTTCCTTTTGAAAAATCCCAAGTAGAAATAACGTTCAACTTATCGCTGATAAAATATTACTTACCGTAATCATTAATTTCAAATTGACATATTTGCATATATTTGTGATAATTAACTTAAAATGCCCTAATCCCTGTAGGAGTTGCATAATTTGTTGTAAGCTTAAAAGCTTGTCGCTTGAGCAAGGCCCTACTGTTCCTAACTAACCTGGTTTACTGTGATAAATTACAGCACATGTGCTAGGTAGGTTAATAACTTAAACGTCATAATTACGTATGCAAACTAAATATGAACTTAATGCAATCCAATACCTTACTAATACATCCAATATATAACAGTTATAAACTGAATGTAGTAAAAGTTATTCGTTCTGGTGTAATGAATTGTTGGCTCTGTGTGATCATTTGAAATTATATTACGGCTTAATGTTTATAACTTATCTTGTATATTAAAAGCACACAATACCAATTCAGGTAGTTTTTTGTTGTTGTTTATTTATTTCTTTCACTTAGGACACACAACAAAACACACAGATACACTTTGCAATTTTAAAACTATAGTGTGTACCGGGCAGCCTTATGGCTGTAAACGATCCCTTTCAGGCAACTCGAGTAGAAAGTAACTTAGTAATAATTAAAACTTTGTCTAGTTTTTCAAAGAAATGCGAAACTTACTAATTAAAACTAAAACTATACAATAATAAACATTTAAAACAAACTAACGGTTTAAAACCCGAATTAGTTAAAAATATGTACTTCGACTGATCTGGACTTATTGTTGGGATACTTTCCCCCCGTGACCATATTCAAATATTTTTAATTGTAATTAAATTAATATTTTAAGCTGTTTGTAAACCCTAATAAATAAATAAATTATTTAGAAGCTCCCTCTGTTATTTCATAAAACATAAAAAAAAACTATAAGTAATAGGTACTTCTAGACACTCTACCCGACTCAAGACTTTAAGAAGATTGATCGTTCATGTCTTCCTTATAACAGTCTCCTGACACGAAAGTTAACGAAAATTAATCATCTTAAATTAATTATAACACATCGCCCATACAAATGCAGGACTTACAAAACAGCATTACACATTTTATGTTTTATATATTTTGAATTAATTTCTTGAGCCTGTGTCAATTTTTTTTTTATCTAAAATCTTTTGATTCAGAAAAATATATAAACTGTCAGCAGTTTTCGTGAGTAGATTAAAATGACACTATATTAGTTATTATAAAAAATATTTTAACATAATTAAAAATGTCCTTGCAGAATTGACTTAGCCGACCGGCAAACGCGAAGACACCGTGAGTCAATTCTGCAAGGCCCCGGTCAGTTTCGCCAAGTATCAACTTCGACGAAACAGATGGCGCTAGCGTACCAGTTTTTTACTTTAACGTCAGAGTCATCCTCCATCTTTAGTCTCCCCATGACCACGGTTGCTGCCAGTGACCAGGCGGTTGCATTTTTAAATCGTTAAATTATGGTTTTATTTAAATACAATAGCTTTTTTAGATCCGACAGTACACGAAAGTTTGATCAACTAATTACCTGTAAAAAGAAAACAGACACAAATATATGTTCATCCTTAGCCCACTATGATACAGCGGGATTTTAATACACTTTATTAGATGATGAAGTGTGCGGGGTCAGCTTATAGATAGTATATAGATAAAATAGAGTTCATGTGTGGGCTGTGTGTTGAAACAAAGTTACATGCGTAGGACCACGTGCGATATAACAACTTATCCAAATACTTAATCGTTACAGACTAGGCGGGGCTATATTCATTGGGATCTAGTCGATATTATGAATAAATATAACATGAAAATGATATTAATAAGTATTATTTTGAAGTAATACGTTTAATGAACATGTAAGTTGGTCTTTTGCAATAAAGAAGTCTAGTCTACAGTCTACACAAAAGAAAATCCTTACTAATATTATAAATGCGAAAGTAACTCTGTCTGTCTGTTACTCTTTCACGCCAAAACTACTGAACGGATTTGAATGTAATTTTGTACACATATGGTCTAGACCCTGAGAAAGGACATAGGCTATTTTTAGGAAAAGGGGGTTGTAAGGGGTTAAAAGGGGGGTGAAAATTAGTATAGAAATTCGTGGTTTTTGAAGCTAGAACAATGAAACTTTCTTCTTTGGTTTTGGGAATGGGAGTGGGAGTGATGAGAGTGTTGCGGTTAAGTATCACTTACAACATTGGTTGGCTTCGAAAAATGCGCATTTACAAAAGAATAAACAGCCTATATAATTAAAAATTCTACCCTAAGTCACTATTCCACGCGAACGAAGTCGCGGGCACAGCTAGTTAATAGTTGCGTTGAAAATGCTTTATTTATGATCATTGGTGTAATGGTAGCAATGTATGGCTAAAAAACAAGGGTCGTAGATCGATCCCCACCGGGTCAAACATTTTTCTGCTTAAATTATAATTTTTTTAAACACGTTATACTTCGCCTGGAAGTTTGCATATTAAATAGGCATTAGGAAAATCAAACTTCCGTTTAGACCTGGAATGACAGATCACAAACGAAAAATCCGTGACGTTTAATCGCGTTCAGTCCGTGGATTTCCGAATATCCAAATTTAAAATACGTCAACAGCACATCTTGCTAAGAAGTTATACGATATTTTAGCAGTCAACAAGTGGACCCCGTTGCTTGTCCGTCTTCCTCTATCATAAAAAAAGAACTCGTTTTGTCTAAAAGTTATATATTACGTATCTTTTTATTAACATCATGATAATATCCTCGTATATGTGAATTTACAAGAGATTACATTGCGATCCGTCGCCGTCGCGTTAGAGTATACAGAAATAAACCTTTTACGCACGACCGAAAATCGAACCTTCGACCTTACGAACGGCGGGGGGCTTTATCACGAGTACAACACTGCTCTTTAATGCGGTTTTGACAGCGTTTTTTTACGAGACTTCAACTTATGGTTTAAGTTCGTATTTTATTCGACCATCGCCTAGCTTTTATAAAGCTTCACCTACGCTGAGTGTCCGTGAGAAATGTGAGATCATTTGTGGGAATGTAATGATATTGATTTTATCTTTAATGGCTCTAATTTATTGTTTGTTATTAGTCCGCAATGCTTATTGTTGAACATTGTATAACTGCGGTTTTAATAATTCGTCTAGATGTAGGTAGTTAACGCTGACTGAGAGAACGCTATCTTATTATGTCAGACATTTCAGAGAAGTTAACGCGAGAAACGCGGGTGTGATTCACGAGAAATTTCTTTTATTATGCACTTTACGACACTTCAAAATCTTGCAATCTTCTCGGAAACCTACTTCTTTGGTAATCATTTTTGGATTCATTCATCCAAAAATTATTACTACTAAATAAGTAAATTACCCGGAAACGTATCTATAACGTTTGAACGCGTAAATCCCAGGAATTACTGGTTCGAATTGAAAAATTATTTTTGTGTTGGTTAGAGCATTTATCGGCTATAAAAAGTCGCACTGTGACTAACACGAAAAACAGCGGGATATGTGGAAGAAACGGGGAACATTATTCATCTCTGTAAGTTTCCGAGGCGTACTCTGCAAAAACGTTTAAAATATCCAAAAAATATGTATTAAAGAATTATTCCTCTTTGGATATTTCTATATGTCTATCTTTTAAGATTAACTTTCAAGAATAACGGGACTCGGACGACATCGTGGGTAACAGCTTATCTGAAGCGATTTTAATGTTTTTTAAACAATCAACAACTTACACGCTTTACAATAATTTTATATCAAAAGATTTACCTAAACCAAAACTCCTATATGTTATTTTAGCAAACTGTTATTATTTAAGTTAATATGTGTATCTGTAATTTATTATTATTTAATATGTGAATTAAACCTGAAAATATTATTTTAATCTCACAAATTTATCACCGTAAAGGCCATTTAGTTTATTTTTGACGTTACGTCGGATATATGTCAAACGTTGTGAAATTCGCGGGAAATTAATATTTCCTTACAATATATAATATAATAAATAATTGATCAGTCAAAATATTACTACGCAAAATATCTTTAGATTTAAAAATCCTTCTAAAAGCTCTTTAGTTAAGCCCAAAATTAATCAACAAAATTTATCGCATAACCACAGCATTAACACAATATCTTAATTAATTTATTGCACTGCTCTCGTATCGTTTGACTATTGCCCATACACTTAGATTAAAGTACTAACCGCGCCCACTTTACTAACAGCGAATGTGAAAAAGTGTGACCTGTTCTTACACATATGAGATTGGTATATAAGAGTTTGCGGGCACAATTTGCTCTCATTTCAATTTACGCTTTGCCAAATACTATTCCTGTATTAGGTGTGATATGCTTTCAGTTTAAAATTTAAGTGTGTCAAGGATTACTAATTAAGATAAAATGATTACTGTAAGTATTTACTTACCGTTTAATTTCGATATTATTAAATCAAATTATTTACAAATTGTTACAAAAATTCGTAACAAGAATTAGTGACCTCAATTCTCAAAAAACATTATTAATTTTGTCTCACAGGTAATCGCAGGACTTGCGTTCCTTTCGAATGCCTTCGCTTATCACGATCCGGACCTCAACTACCATTTGAGCCAAGTGCAAACCATACAAGGTTGCGGTGACTCAGGCTACTCGTACCCCGCACCAGCTATTCAACTAACGGCGAATGTGCAGCCAACGAACGCCCCAAGACTCATACAGCCCGTACAAGCACCAGTTACATATGCGAATAACAAGGGATTCACACAATTCTTTGAACCGGCGCAACTTTCATACCAATCCCAGCCGTCATATAGGGGAGCGCAGAGTTTTGAATCATATAGCGTATCCCAAGCAGAACAACACGGTTACGCTACGTCTGAAGGCTTGTCTGCAGCAGCTCAGAGAACTGTTACTCCATTAGCCACATACGCACAAGCGCCGATAATAGCAAAAATAACAGCAGCACCGCTGCATGCCAAGTATTCCGTGGCGCCTGTGAAAAGCTACGTATCACAAAATCTCTTCGCCCAGGCTACTGGCTCGCTCGCGAAGGCATCTTTAAATTCCTACAACAGCATCGAGTCATCAGGATCTGTAGTGTCGCAAGTGATTGCTCCTCAGAGTGTACGTTATGCTACTGCACCAACTTTAAGACTCCAGAACAATCCAACGGTGTATACATCAGCGTCTAATCAGTATAATCAGGAATCCTTTGCGACCACATACAATCAGTACAGCCAAGCGTCGGCGGCGAGAGCTGCGTATGCGCCGGCTGTAGCTCAATATTCTGTCAGTCACACTCCAGTTCAATATTCAGCGCCCGCTGTGCAATACTCGCCACCAGATGTTCAGTACCAGCCAGTTGTACAATACTCTGACCCAGCACCAGCCCCAGTGATAACTCAGCATGCTCCAGTGATTGTTCAGCATAGTCCAGTTGTAAGCCAAAGTGCTCAAAACATTCATTCCTCAAGACCCGTGCACAATTTGTACAAAGTTGTACAACGTCTTGCGCCGGTCGTATCACACCCTCCCGCGGTTGCCGTCTCTCCTGTGAGGATATCATCATCTGCTCATTCTTCAAAGAACGTGCACAAGGAGTTCTTGGAGAACTATGTAAGTTATTTTTTTAATTTGACCATATTGTGCCTAATTTTCGCTGTCAGTTGATTAATTGTCGCGTAACTTTGGCAGTGGCATACGAATACTCACCCCCCATTGTGATTACATAGTAATATTACGTTAAGCTATGATAAAAAACATCGCCATGTGTTTTTCAAGTCACTTTGTGGTACGAGAGTTTCGTCACTCGCAATTAGATATGGGATTGGTGATTATTTATGACGTAATTAAAATTAATCGGTCACCAGTTGTACACCATGGACAGGTTTGGTGACATCGATATCTTGATTATTGAATGAACGACCCCGTTATGAACTAGATACCCTTGCGACAATACTTGTTTTTACCTAAGGACTGTATCGATCGAGATCGAAGAGTAGTCTCTTAGACCTCCCTTAAAAAATAAGAACCTGAGTTTTACTTCACCCGAAGGCAGATGTGGTAATAAAACAGAAGTCGGTTTAACTTCGGAAAGTCTTTTCTGGGATTCTCTTTAGACAGGTGCTACGGAGGATTCATGACTTTTAAATCATATGTATGAATTTAAACTGTTATAAAAGAATTCCGTACTTTAATAGTTTTGAAAAGTATGTATGTAAGATAAATAATTAAAAATATTTCGACGAGCACGTGTGTGTTTGTTACACACACGTGCTCGTGTGTGACTAATAATCAACTCTGGTTACTAAATGGGTGATGGGAATGTCGGAATTCCGCCCGAGTCCACTGTCCACAGATAAAAATCCATAAAGTTTATTCGCGCTTCCCTTCCAGTCTATGGATTTCCGAATATCCAAAACCAAAATAGATCGGCAATGCAAGATGAGTTTTAATGTTATATAGCTGGGTTGTTCCTACTATCACGCGAATCTTATGCTTGTCTGTCCTGCTCTATCATAAAAAACATTCCTACTTAACTTACCCAAAAGAAATGAAATATAAAGGAATGAAGATAAAACAGAAATCTTAAAGTTTGCTGTTAATCCCTTTATAATTAATTTTATCTTAACTTGACAATAAAGCTTTTAATTTTCTCGTACACCTCAATTCTTTATCTTTGGAACGATCTTTTTCGAAATGGCCATTCAGAACCATTTTACATGCACTGCCTCTGCCAGACCCGACTTGCGAAACGTAACGACGTTTGTTAACAAATCCTTAGTTGAGTGCAAATACTTGTGTCTCAAGAACGTTGCACTTTATTAAACTTAACGTTTAACTAAACAAATTCAATTTCGTAATACGATTTTGGACTTGTTCTTGCGTAACGATTTGGGGTATATGTTTACAAGTCTAGACCGCTGTTATATATCAACGTTTATACGCCTTGTCTAGCATAGCGGTAAACACGAGACCTGGTTCGAATTCAGTAGAATACACCATTTCGGCGGGCAAGGCACAAAAGTGGACACCTAATAACATATTTACAACAGCTTTACAAACATTGTTTAACACGAGTACCAATTTTGGCAATATTTATTTGGACGGCACATTTTAGGATTACTGGTTGCCACTATGCTAATTGTTAGTAATGCCACACCGCGATGTGTTGAACCCACGTGTTGGTTTTAATTTAATATTTTTTAAACTTCCATTTTAACTCCTGCGCATTCACAAGCTCAAAAATAATTTATGAAAACAAAGTTTTTGCCAGTGTCTTTCTATCGGTATTCATGCGTCTATATGAAGAATTTTGAAATGTTTTAATATATCACGTTTACAAATAAATCCTTAAAAAACTATCATTCATGTAAGTGTATGTCTTGCATACATTTTTACATTAAGAGTGTGAATAAATCTATTAATAATAAGTAGAAATAATATCATATCTGTCTGTGGTTTAGTAGTACGCGTTTCAATAAAACACTTTAACAGTTTAAAACGGAAAATTTATTTTTTTAAACATTTGAAAACGAATAAGTGAAACTCTGGCCGTAATTAAAATATATATAAATAAGTTTACAAATACATTTCGGTTTTAAACCGTCAAATTTTCATTTAAACGCAGTCGTTTGAAAACTTTAATATTTTTCACATGGCGGTATTATATAAATTAAAAATCTATTTGGATTCAAATTGATCTTGAAATTAGAAAGCACATCATTTATCAATAAAATTACCTAAAGGAGTACAAGTTATCCAGCAGTTAGTCAGATTAAGATACGACTTTCACTGTAACTAGGTTGATTCGATACAGAAAACACAAATCATGCGAATTGCCCATGAACGGGAAGTTATCGCAACGTGACTTACCGCTCCTACCCTTTTATCACAAAAGCTCTGACATTTCCTATTGTTGCAAATACTTAATTTATATACAGACCGCCTAAATGTCAGCGTCATAGTCCTGCCTTGTTAATAGCTATCTAGCGCCAAATCATTTTAACCAATAAGCTTTAATTAAGACATTAAAAGTGTATATATGACATAAAAGGTAAGACGTAAAATGTGCACCAAGTCATGTTAAACTACCCACCTACGTATGTTCGGACGGACAAGACTGAAAGATTCACTGAAGCCGAAACACTTCAGCTTCAGTCTGTATTGCACTTCGAAACGCGGCTTTTTCATCTGTGGACCCTTGTTAGGTAACTCGGATGGAATTTCGACATTCCTACCATCCATTTAATATCCAGATTTCCAGACGAAATCCAACATGCTTCAGAAAATTTTAAATTTAAAAAAAAAAAAAAAAAAAAAAAAGAAAAATTTTTTCAATTTATTTTCGATTTTAAATTATTATGCCTTCATGGGCAAAAACTTGTGAAAAATATTAATGTTTTCAAAATTAGAAACACGTTAGCCCCGGTGGAGGCCGAACCCACGACCCGTAGTTATTAGCCGTACATTGCTACAATCTCTTCTCTTACTACAGTCTCTTGTTGGTAGGCCATTATAAAAAACATGGTTTGGTAAGAGTTGCAGCACAAACGATTCTTATTGATAACTATCGGCGATCGCCTTACGTGTTAAGTATCAATGAATGATTATAATCGTTATTTCAAGGATGTACATCCCCGCTACGCTTTCGAATACGCTGTTAACGACCCCAACACCGGCGACATAAAACAGCAGAAGGAGGAAAGGGACGGAGATGTCGTAAAAGGTAAAACGTTTGAGTTGTACTCTACTACCTAGATTAAGATATAAAATACTACATACACACTATCCATTACGTCATTTTTTGTTAAGCAATGGACACGTGTGAAAGCCATGTAAATAATATTGTATCGATTTCGAAAAAATAAGTTCAACAACTTCAAATTACAACAAGAGTTTAGAAATACTGAGAAAATAACCAACGGGACCCAAATTTGCAACCTGCGTATAAAATACTAGCTGTGTCAGCGACTTCGTCCGCGAGAATCGTTATTTTGGGCATCGAATTTCGTTTTTGCAAGCCTCTTCATCTTTTTACACTTAAACTTACCCAGGACGTCGCTCACGTCACTTTTTCCGTTTAGACATAGCGCCCTGTCATTTTCCTTTCTCGCTGTATCTTCTCGTCACAGGGCGATGTTTTATAGCCTATAGCCTTCCTCGATAGATGCTCTAACCAACACAAAAAGGGTTTCTGAGATTAGCGTGTACATACAAACTCTTCAGCTTTATATATTAGTATTGATTGGCTAGCATATAACAAAGGTGCCATTAAAACAAATATCTTCTTAAAGCCAATTAATACTAAAATCATAGGCTAACTAAACCTCGCTCATGAAGAATTCTAGATTCTTCACTTCATAGTTTTTGGAGGATTCTCATTTTTTTTATTATAGGTCAATATTCGCTTGTGGAGCCCGACGGTTCCGTTCGGACTGTAAACTACGTCGCTGATTGGGAGACAGGTTTCCACGCTGAAGTCCAAAACAGCAAGGACAAACATTGATGCCATATACGTATCTACACAATTGGTAATACATAAATATGAAACCATATGTATCAAATAAAACAGTACCTGCCGAACTTTTGAATATGTGCCAAAACGAAATTATTAATTTTAAGAGTAAAATTTTATTGTTATAAAAAACACAACCTACCATAAATTATATTAAGTTAAGTATTTGCTTAGTTAAATAAGCTTATGTGATTATATTTCGTAACTCATAAGTTCCAAGGTGTTAATTTTATTAAGCGAATTTTACGTTATCAATAAAAAGCTTGTGATTACGAAAACATTATTTTATTTATAAAACACAGCCCAACAATATAACACAGTACGAAAATAATATCTATAAACATAATTATGTCTCCTTCAACATAAACTAGTACCTAAGTGCTTAGTATACAATAACTTCATAACATGGTTAATTGTCTCTATACTGTACCAACGTATCATAAGACGATAAACTTAGATATCTCTTTTCCATTATAATAACACTTTGGACAAGCATAGTCAGCATCAGCAATTTTGTTGGCCTGAAAAAAATAATGTAATATTTAAAAAAAACTTTTTTACGAAGTCGCTTTGTACATATATTATTTGCCGGCTTGTTGGTCCGAGTTCGATCCTCACCAGGTCCAATCTGGAAACCTGGATATTAAGGGTGGTTGGGATATAGAAATCCCGTCCGGGTAACGAACCACCGTCCACAGATGAAAAAGCCGTGAAGCTTTTTCGCGGTTCAGTTTCAGTCTATGGATTTCCGAATATCCAAAGCCAAAAAGGATGACAGCGCATCTTGTTTAGATGCTATAGGCTGAGGTATATCACCTACCATCAAGTGCATGTGGTTCACTTCATGTTTGTCTTCCTCTATCATTAAAAAAAGTATATCTATCAATTACTATTGGAAAGTTAGTTTATTACTTTTTAATGCATGCTGTGACTATCACCTAATATTACCTTCAAACAATAATAACAAAATATGTGTGCACAGCCCATTACATGCGGCAATATGGGCTTATCAGAGCAAGACGCACACACTGTATTGATATTCATAGATGCTGGCAGTGACTTTGTTGATGTACGGACATGATTCCTCCACCACACATACTTTAACACCTTTGATAATTTCTGTCTTAATCCAAACATGTTTACTAGAGATAATGTGGTCCCAATTAATTCCTGTAAAGACAAAAATATATAATAATTTGAATCTAAACAAAAAAACTTTGGCTTGTCCTTTCTATGAATAAAATCTATTTAAATAATGAAATAATTAGTAAATTCATAAAATACAGAATCATAAACAATTCTAAAACAATGTAGTATTTTACTTACAATAAAATTATGCCATAAAAGCTCTCTAGTCCATGAAAAATCAGTCAAGTCTTCCCTTATCACCTTATCTGCAGCTAATTCTATTCCAAGAATAAAGTCTATAAAAGCAGGATGTTTACCGCTTTGAATGAATCGCAAAAAATTAAATATATCACCAATCAATTGAAATGTTTCCAAGCTATTCAACACACTTTGGACTTTCCTATTTGATGTAAAACTATATAGTGCTCTCTCTTTTAAGTATTTTAACCCTACTGTATATCCATAGTACCAGTATAGTTTACTTTTAGAGAAATTCTCAGACTTATACTTTAAAGACAACATTTCCTGGCCAAAAGTACATTTTTTGTCCCAAACAGAATATTTAAATATCCAACTTCTTATGAGTAATTCTAATTCTGGTAGTATTGGCTGCAGAATACCTGGCTAAAAGAAAATAATTACAAATAACTCTAAAAAATTGCTCTTTATGTAGGTACTACACATGTAACTAACAAACCTCAAGAAACTTTGTTGCCTGAAAAAGGAGATTTTTAAAAAGCTCTTCCAATTCATCATCCAGTTGCAAGGAATCCAGCTGTAGAAATATATTTTATTGGTTATGATTATTATGAATATATTTTATGTTTTCTTTTTTTAAGTACTTAAAGTTCATAAAAAATAATACCTGCGTTACTCTAGGTATGTACGTTATCGACATATTTAAAGCCAGAAAATTATGTAATGGATAACTTAATCAATAAATAGCTTAACTTTAATATTGTTATTGATATGTAATTGGCAATAGTGTCATGACAAGTGATGAAAATTCAAAATAACAATAACCACAGATTAAGATTAATATACTTGTAATACTCAATTTTACATCAGCTGTTATGAATTGGAATTTATATTTTGTCTGTGGACTATCATAAATCGTAATATACAGTAAGCAACACTGAGCAGTGAGCATCTATATTCTGTCAATACTCAATACTCAATACATGAATACACGACGCACTTTACATATGTTTTTTATTGTGAAATCGTATTCTTGTGAATTACGGTTTCATTATTAAACTATCTTAAATTGTTATGGGAACATAGAAATCAACAAGCATCGAAATGGTTGTTTCTCCGCAAAGCCCTGCCAGCGAAACGCAAAGTGTGAAATCAAAGAACCTTAATATGGCGAACAAGCCATCTCAATCTGTCGCTGATACAAGGGCAGAGTTGGCCGAATTAGTCAAACGGAAAGCTGAAGTAGCTGTGAGTGACAACATGTTTATAATTATTAGTTACCTTAGTCGAATAAAAGGTAGAATAAAATTTTAATATTTGTAGGAAACCCTCGCCAATTTAGAGCGGCAGATTTATGCATTTGAAGGTTCATATTTAGAAGATACACAGCTTTATGGAAATATTATAAGAGGATGGGACAGGTACCTGACAACAAATAAAAACACAAATTCTAAAGCTGACAAGAGAAACAGAAAATTCAAAGAAGCTGAGAGATTGTTTTCCAAATCATCAATTACTTCTATGGCTGTAAGTTTCTGTGCTATTTAACTTGACTTCTATAAAACTTATTAAGTCCATTTGTTTAAAGGTATCAACATAATAAAGGTTTCCAATAATTCAACAATGTTGAATTGTATATGTGTGTGGTATAGTTAATGTTCAATGCAAAATTGATAGAACATCTTGCTTAATCTAGCAGTTAAGGGCTGAAAAATTGTTGTTTATATTTTACATATTATTTATAGTGAAAGGCTCCTTTGATAATTAAAAAAATATGCATTAAATCCACTTCGGATTAAAGAATGTATACTGTAATTTCAGGCAGTTAGTGGATTGGTGGATGCAGCAGAGACTAAAAGTGAGTATAATCAAATATTTACAGAAGACTTATGTTGCTATTGTTATTTTATATGAACTTTTATTTTAGACGAAAGAAATAGTGAGACTGAATCACAAACGAATGAAGATTCCTCAGATACCCAAATGAGCACAGGATTGAGTGTTGGTACTCTTAATCACACAACTATACATGGCTCCACAGAAAGCTTAGCTTCAAAACCATCTGGGAAGCAACAAACCAATGGAAGTATTGATAAAGTAACATCTTCTCTAATGAAGCAAAATACATCAAAATTGGTTACAAGTGGTCTATTGCAGAAATCATTTACAAGTGACAATAAAATCCTGTCTGGTGTGGGATTGGATAGCAGACCAGGGACACCCAAAGAGAAAGATATAGCCCTCGGTCTTCTCAGCAAAGGTGACCTAACACCGAACTCCCTTAAACATAAACTGTCTAACAGCAGCAGTAATAGTAATGTTAAGAAGAATAACAACAAAAAGGCAAGATACAGATAAATTCGTTTATATTTTATAAAACTGAATTAATTTTTATTTTCTGATTAGTGTAATTTTCATCTTTATGAAAGAGGACTATATAATATTAAACTTAAATAATTGATATCTATCCTCTTTGGTATTTTGAAGGCATTGAAAATTTAACTGCTTCTTCTGCTATTAATTGTCCTTAAAATGGATTGCTTGAATCTTGATTCTGTAATGTTACAATTAAATCTTATCCCAAATTTATTATTTAAGTCTATCCATATTATGTGTAATAAATTGTTCATCCCTCATATTGACTTTTAAATCACAACCCTATTTATATTAATACTCACGTTTTAAGACATTTGGTAGATCTTTTATTGGTCCACAAAATCTAACTGTCAAATAAAATAATATAGGCAGAAACGCTATAAGTGCAGTGCATAATAAAAATACAACTTCTGGCGTTCTTCTTAGGTTACAGCAATTTAAGGTTTTACTCCAAATCGATCTAGTTGTATTCATCTGAAAAAAATACAATAATAGAATGTAAAATTATATTATTTTTAGTACCTTTATTTTAATCAGTGTAAAAAATAATTTATCACTTCCACTATACTTTTGCAATGTCAAAAAAAGGCCATAAAGTATCAATTATATTATGTTTAATTTAAAGAATACCTAACTTCCGATCCAGCTTTGATAGAATATATTTTATATATATATTGAACTAACATAAGTAAAATTAGCCCACACTTTTATTATACTCACAGAATCTACAATATCCATACAGACACAGTCTACACCTATTTTATCCTTGCTTAAAGTTTTATAGAACTCGTCCAGTTGCACATAAATCTGCATGCACTTTTCACATACAATATGCTTATCAGAATCCATATTAGTTAGAATACAATCCATTGTTGCATTAAATAGTTTAAAGAATTTTGTTGTACTGTTCCTTATGGTTGCAGTTTTATTGGACCATTCAAAACAATCTACAAAACAAAATTAGTAACAGAATGTAAGACAATTTCTAAAGTATTTTTATCAGATATAAGACCATTCAAAAATGGTATTGGCCTCAAAAGAAGCCTATTATTTGGTAAAAATGGCAAGACAAAGTAATTAAATTTAGAAAATTATTTGTTATCCTAAAGTACTTTGCTACAATTGAATGGAGCTTGGCTTCACTTATAGACAAGTATTTAGTATAATAAATGCAATTAAGTAAATGGGTATACTCAAGATATATTTGATACTAACCATTACAGTTTCCTTTGGTCCAAACACTTAACATACTATCATGGTACTGCTGTATAACATTCAGTCTGTCTTGGGACATGAAGATAGACCCACAAGATGTCCCATTCACAACAGTAGTTTGCAATTCTTTAAACTTATCGTGGAAAGTGACATAGTGCTGAACACAATTTTCACAAAATCTTATTGGCCGTGCATTGATTAAGGAACAAAATGTAAAGTTCGATGCAGAGTCAGAGAAAGAGTTTAAGATAGCGAAACATTCTTTTGGGTATACCTCTTCACCATAATTTCTGAAATAAATATAAAAAAAATTGTTATAGCCACATTGGAATTAATATAAAGTAAGAAGCAATATAATATGCAATTTTGCAAACGGAGAACTCACAAATATGGATGTACTTTAATAAAATCATAACGTAAATCGGCATATAGTAAATTAATTAACGAACTAAGGAAAACTACCACCAATTTTAATTTAAGCATGCCTTCTGAAATATATTTTATATGGAATTTGTTTAAAATTGTATAGCTGCTTCATGTGAGTATCAAATTGTAGAAATACTAAAGTCGGCCAAGCTATTAACTTTTCAAAAATAAAAATTTTCTTTGCAAAACTGAGCAACAAAACAAAGGTCTTTTGAACGGGTGAAAAATGACAACTTCAATCTGACAAAATATATTATCTCTGGCATACATTACATTTATTAATTCATTATCTTAAACTGTGTTAAGACCCTAGATTGTCAAATACCTCATGCCTATAAATGTTACTTGACACAGTGTCATTTGTCAATTGTCAGTAAAACAAAAACAGTAAGAAACTAAGAGTAACACAGTTAACAGTTAACACAGTAGAACTTACAAATAACAATAAGATTATACTCAAATTGATAAAATCTTTTAAAACCCTGCAAGTTTAAAAAAATTGGTGACGAAAAAAGCTGATTTTGTGATCAAATATTGTATGTCTACCGTTTGAGCCGATCGAAAATAATATATAGTATAATAAGTAATTCTGTGTCTATTTACTATTGCTTATTTATATTCGTATTATAACCGTTTCCATCGAAAAGTCGAACTATGGAAAGTACTGAACCAACTCCCGAGGCTTTACAGAGAAAGCTTTATTTTCTCCTAGAACAGCTGCAAGATATGGCAAGGGAATTACCACCGTACGTATTTATTTTTAAATAAATACTGAAACATAATATTTGACTTTTATTCATAAGTACGCTAACATATTTGATGTTGATAATGATTTTTTCAGCAAATATCAAATGAGAGTACCCATTGAACTATTGTCTGGTCTCGCCAATTGCCTCCTTAATGACACAGTATTCGAAATTGTGAAAGGTTTAATGGAAATCCAGCATTTCACTGAAAAACATTTATTTCAACAGAGATTACAAGTTATAAACAAACACACATGTTAGTATTTGGTCGTATGATTTTATATATGATAAAAATGAACGATTCATTCTTATCACATCATTTTATAGGTGAAATTGAGAGTATGATGGCTTTAAATTTAACACCTGAAGAACAGGAAAAGCAAAAGCAAATTCTATTAAAGAGGCATAAGGAGGAACTGAGACAAACTGATATGAAATTAGTTATTCAATTAGATCAAAAGGTAATACTTATAATTACAAAATATAGGTAAATGCTGCTCATTTTAGGAAAAAGTTGAAATTTTAACTATTTTATTAGTATGTGTTTTATATTTTATTGAAATATTTCATTTTATAGGTCAGCGACCAACAGGACACATTGGAAAAAGCTGGTGTACCTGGATTTTTTGTAACAACCAAACCAATAGAAATCAAAGTACAGATGTATTTGTTTGATTTTATATTAAGGTTAAGTAAAATGGATATACCGGAGAGTTTATAACTAATATATAAATTTAAACGGAAGCACATACTGTTTTTCTAATAAATATTAAGATTCTAATTATTTCCTTGTAAAAATTAAACTATAACTGAAATAAACCTACTTGGATTTTAGCTATAATTAAGAAATAGTTTTTGAAGATTTAGTATCAGTAGCCTGGGAACTTCATGAGATGTTGAGCAATTATTGCCACAAGAGCCTTATAAAACTTATCATAAATAAAACACAAATATTTGAAAATATTTTAGTAAAAATGGACTACAACAACCGATAAACAAAGTTACACAAAATATATTATGATTGTACCTAAATCTTACACCAGTTTCTTTTTTTTCTTCTTTATTCTTATTAAAAGATCACTTAAGGTAATTTCATAGAAACAAAATATAATCATGAAATATTGTGCAAAGTTTTATTACTTTTATTAAGGCAAAATAGTAGACATTTTTTGGGACTTTTCATTTACAGTTTACATCTATCATTTTAATAAAAATCTAACAAAAAATTTATTAGTATCACACAAGAAAAGGTTTCATGTTAAATACATTTTTGTGATATATTATATTTATACTAGAATATAGTCGGTTATAGGAGTATAACAACATAATTGTTGAGTAATAAAAAAAGTATAAAGTCTATGACAAAATAGTTCTTTCAGACTAATATAATACAGAGAATACCTTCGCCTAAGTGCCTCATTTACATTTTATTATTTGAACATGTACCGACTGAAAGTCACACAGTATTTGTAATTACTGCAAAAAATACTCTTACATTATAAAAAATAATATAGATGTTTCATTAGAGCATCTGAAAGAATATTTATAAATATAAACTATGTTATCCTGTTTTGGTTTGAGCGTTTTGGTCGCTTATGAATTAAATTCAACATAAAGTTATTAAGTCAAGTTTAAAAAAAAACCCAATTTTTAATCCTTGTTTGAAAATCTTTATGAATAAATTACGTTTGAAAGTAATTTTATAATTTCTCTTAATCATATTTTACTCTTGTGATATCAATGTCATTTATATAGTCATAAATATATCATACATAAGTAGGTAGTTAATACTTGAAAAAAATATTCACACATACTTATCACTCGAATTTTTAAAACAATCTATTTGTGCATAAGTTTCCATCTAGTATAACAGAATCCAAAACCTATCTAAGACATAATTTACAATTTACATATTAAAAAAAATATTTTTATGGAGATTTTTCTAAATACAGTTAGCCGTGGCCATTTGTAAATTGTATAGTGAACAACAAATATTCAACAATGGAATAATCTTTGCACAGAATTACATTATCATACAATATGCACTTAATTGTCAGTTTCAAAAACGCTTACACTACGCTGGCTACAGTCATACAAATAATTTGTACGCGAAACGCTACTTCTTCTCTGTACCATATGAAGAGCCGTGGCTGATCTTCGACATTCCAATTGACTTCTGCAGTAGTACGTAGACTGTAATAAATGCGCAAATTAATATTTACAAAAGAAATATATGAAACGAGGCCGCTAGAGGCAGAGTAGCCTAACTGCAATTTTATGAGTTGAGTTATTTATATTTTCGAAATCTAAAAAATGTTATGTACAAGAGCAGTTATCTAAAATTATTTTTTACACAAATTACAAGTTAATTTTCGCCTAAGTTAATAGCGCATTTTTATTTTCATCCTTATTGCAAATCACGTTTTTGTTATTAGGCCACTCAACAGCCTCAACACTCTAGCTTTAATACCAGCTTATTTTAGACAAAAATGTGTCAAAATAAGTTTTACGATAAAATCGAAGATGAAAAATATCTTGATACTCACAAAATGCAACAATAGCGGCTCCGATAGAAAAATATATAAGTCTTCCACTGAACAAGAGACCAACTAGATAGTACAGCATTGGGGTTAGAGTGATGATAGCCCATCCCACCGTGTTGAGCAGGGAGTAAATGCGCGGAGGACGGTGGGACGGCTCGACTCTCTCGACGCCTGACTCTTGGAAGAAGTCGCCCGTGTTGGCGAATGACTCCATCATTTTGTCCTGAAAAAATATTAATTGTAATCAGTAACTATAATAATCGTGTGAAGAGAAAGGAATTGATATGAGGAGAAGGAATGATTTCTTTACACTATCATTTTGAATTTGAATATATTGAGATTACACTATTAATTTTGAATTATTAAATAAGTTTAATTATTGCTCTGTATATTACATATACATCCTTTTGTAAATTGAACTAATTCCAGAATTTAGAAGCAGTTTGGTTTTATGCATATGTTTTCAAGATGTCTACCTTTACAACAAAGAGATCGTGTAGCCATTTCGCGCTTTCAGCTTCGCCTTCTGGGATCTTTTCCACTGGTATCCGTTCTATGTAAAGGTGTGCGTGAACTGGTTTACCGTACAACATACTGGTCAATGTTGGTGGGACCTAGAGAAAAAAATAAAGTCATTAAGTTGTGTCATACGTGTAAGTGTTTAGTAGATTTTTTTTCTGGAAAAGATTTCCTCTCTCCCTTTGCTCTCATCTCCAGCATATATAGATCCGTAACCTGTTCATAATATTCTTTTCCTACATTTTGAGTCTATTGAATATAAAACAAAGTTTAATATCATTGTGGCACGGATATATTCGTTCTATTATTACAAATTTACAGACAAGATCGAAATTTCCCGGATTCCAAACCAAAGGTAGGAGTTTGATTATAAGTATATGGTACTAGATTTACTAAGAAAGACTATAATATACAAGTGTTTTGTACCTAATATAATTCATACCAAACGTTAACTCAAATTTTAGGTACTGTACAATCAAAAGGGATAAAGTTTAGGATTATGTTAGTTCGTCTCGTTAATATTATGCAGTACATTTGTCAAGAAAAGAGGTAGGTAAACACTTTTATTTGGGACTATATTTTTTCAAACCATATAATACAATGATATTTCGCAGTTGTCTTATTTGGTCATCACAAAAGGAATCCTACTTGGCCTCCGGTGTCCTACATAAATTATTTTCTTGCTTAATTCAGAACATAATTACAGCCAAAACCGGCGAAGCATGTTGTTTTCATCATTATAATGAGCGGGCACGTGATCAATGTAAACATATTTTTATAGAGTACATAAATGCGCGTGACCCGATTCTTTCACATTTTATCGATTTCCTAATTAATTTAGAAGAGTAATTGCGCATTTAGATTTAAAAACGAATGTTTTATATTTAAGTTTAGAATTATACAACACTTTAAACGCCCCGCGGTATTATAGTCACAACAGTCCAGTAGCAAATGGACTTTGATCTTTGAGAGACGATTTGTTTTGTTCACTCTTCATTACACAACAGAAAGACATTTAAAATGATAGAATAAAACGAAATTACGGACTGTTAAGGGTGAAGATGATCTCGTGATCTTTTCGAGGTCAGTATTGGTAACCGTGCATGCCAAGTGTGTGTTGGTAGAAGGTTTTATCGAATACTTATTTACAGAGCACGTTTTAATTGTATGTGTATGTACATGTACGAAACGATAATTTTCTAACTTGCAACCACTGGCCATGGGAACTAGCAATCATTGTTTTTATTTTCAACTGATTCTCTTCTCAAATGACGTAAAAACAATTTAAAAAAACGTATAACTGCAAATGATGTTGGCGAAACAAAAACAGTCATGTAATTGAGGCTAATTCTGAAAAGGCAATCATAATTTACTCTACACACAATCCATTATTTATTTAACGGACAACAATAATACATTAACAATATTTTCGTTCATCTTGTTTCTTTATCAATTGTATGTTTTTTTGACTAGGCTTTTGATGGGTTATTGTTGAGGTTAGCTACATTAACGCCAAATCGCATCAAATCGATTCATCCATTTGAGCTCATCTTAAAGCCATCACAATAAACTATTGAGATATCAAGACCATTGTATCAACCCGAATTAGTAATAATATAATTATTATTTCAATGTGCAACTTGTTGAGTACAGAGTCCAAAAGATAATGTAGTAATGTCCAATCATAATCTAGAATGTCAATTATAATTATCATTTTTAAGTTAATTACCGCGCCTATGATTTATTTATTATTACCTATATTTAGCAAAGGTATTTTATTTAAATAAAACACTAACGGTTTAAAACGCGATATATTAGTCTCCCAGTGACCACGGCTGCTGCAAAGCATCCGAAACGTCGGGTCGAAGTTAAAAATCATTTTCAAATAAGTTTAACTAATATATCGCGTTTTAAACCGTTAAAGTGTTTTATTTAAATGTGTACTACTCGCGTAAGCTATAGACAGTATTAAAGGTATTTTATAAAACCCCAGTTTGACACACAAAACAAAGATTGTTAACAGAATAAGCATGATTTATTATTATTAATAATTCTCTAGTCCTTCAAACGTTAGCTAATTTATTTTTGTTCTAACGCAATTATTGGTTTACAGTATATTGCGAAAACTACCTTTCAGTAAATATAATCCACGTTCATTATTTTTGTACTATAATAAATGTTTAATTAAAAGTTAACTAATTTCAAAATCATTTAATTAAATCCTCATTGTATACATATAGATATCAATATCTACAATTTGTAAGTGAAACGGCTGAGCACTTTTGAAAACAAATTCTGACGTTCTTCTATAACATAAAGTTTACACCGTTGTTCATTTAAATAATGGGGCACGAAATAATTACAAAATGTAAAAGTGAAAACTCGTTGACTCCGTTGGGCATGGGGCGAACATATGTCTGTTTCTGTTTTACTGATCTGTTTAATTTACAGGCAAGGTAATCTGACTTCAGTGCCACGAGCCCTAAACAATCTATGACTCCCTGGCATTCAAACCTAGGAACCAATTGTACTTAATGCTAAATGTATATATTGCTATGTAGCGAAAGAGACGGTCATGGAATAGAAATGTAAAAAATAAACCATTAAAATCTTCAACGATTATAAAACTAGAGAGTTTGTTTGATTGAATGTGCTAATCTAAAGAGAATAATGTAGAAAGCGGGAAAAGTTATTAATCTTCGCTTAAATACTCTTACTACGTACTTAATCGCGGGCACAGCTAGTCTTCAATAATGATTAACTGCGCACACGCTTAGTTGTGAGTTCATATCGCGTTTACTCTACCATCTCGTTAACGTTCTAAAAATAACATCGACGCCTCTATGACTTAAGATACTTATTGCAAATTTAAATGGTAGGTGGTTTCGGAAATGATTAAGATATCGATTATTATTAGTTAGATAAGTGAACTAGGTTGCGGTTGATTACTTTATCATTCGCAAGTCGCTACATACACGACCTTCATACCTTACTATCCTTTTCGAAGGCCAACTGTATGTTGTAGATAACCGGTATTTTGCCTCTGAAGTGTTCCAAGCTCGTGGTGAAACCTCTCGTGCGTGGCGTCAGATGGTGCTTGAGGAGGGGCAGATTCTTCTCTTTCGCGAACTTTAAGGACGCTTCGTGCTTTGTACGCGTGAAGCGAGTGCCCTCGGGCGTTAGTAATAGCTGTAACGTATAACAAAAACACTTAACGGTTTAAAACGCGAACAGCAGAAGAAACACGTAGGGGCGTTGTTAACAACAATCAACATATATATTTCGCCCTTGCCATTGTTTTTATCTTTAAACATAGGATATGGTAGTTTTTAATTGTATATAACATTTAAGTTGACGAGATAAACTTATTTCGCGTAAAAAGGGTTTTCTTTAATCAGATAGTATTACTAATAAATAAATAATTCAGAATACTTGTTAATTATGTAAGTATCTTAAGTTTAAATGACAATAATTAAACTAATATTTTAGCTATTAAATCTTATAGTACTTTCGTTTCAACTTATTCGTATATCGTTAAAACCTAATCTAAGGTCTCACTAGTAGGCAACGGTCTGCCCGCATACAAGAGGGATACGAGATAGGATACTAGTCCAGTCTGGGTTGACAGGCTGTGACAACCACTACCACTTAGTAAACAAGAAAAACGAACCGACGGCTTACCCCTCCAGGTTCTAGAGAGAACTTAGATTTATTTAAAAAAAAAATCAAATACCGAAGTTATATTTAGTTAGCATGACTCATGATTTGAACCTGGGACCTGAAGGTGGCCTGCAGTCGAGTCTACTAAGCACTCGAGACAGGCGTAAGTAGTCTTTTAGATCGCGTACCGATTTATCACCTGTGAATGAATTACCAACAATATATGAAAACTATTAATTTTATTTTGTTATCTTACCCATACTGGATCGGGATATTCGCAGATTTTTGAAATTTGTTGCTTGATAATCTCCTTGTCCTTTTCATAATTTCTTTCTAAAAATACGAACTCTGAAAACTTCCACATCCAACCAATAGGTGGCATATACTGAATAGATTTTTTCGCGTATGCCTTGCAATTCTGAAACAAAACGTTACTGTAACGAGAGTTTTTAAACATTCATAATTCATACATAATCTATCAGATGCCGTCGTAATCAGAACAAAGTCCAAAATCTTTTTCGCCGTTTTAGTAGACGCCAAAATGAAATTCAAAATAGGAACGATTGTGTTACACATAAAATTGCTGTCAATTTACTTAGCCCCAAAAAAATCTTTTTACTAGAATAAACGCCGAGGAAACTCAAAGCAGGAAGAGTTTTAGCTCAAACGAAAATACAGACGGATAATACCGTAAAAATGTCTTTTAAACAGTGGAATACCAAAAATATAAAAAGTAAATTGCAATTACAAGTAACAAAAATCTCTTACGTATGCTAAGGCTTTTTTGCCTTAAAAAATTTAGGTTTTTATTTTATTAACATAAAAAAAAATATTTAGATGTGACATTTGATTTAAATAATCTGCTTATCTCTTTTGAATCAGTCCCATTACATTTCAACGATTAAGATAACCAGCGATCCTTATACGATATTCATATATCGATATATAAAATTTTCCAATACATACATATGTAATGATAGTATTAGTACCTACCTGAAGATTACTTTTACTGAACGTATTGAATAATTCCCATGACATAAATTACGCCATACTTTGGGTACATTTAAATATTAAACCACTGCTGTTACGCAGGTAACAAAAATAATACTAGCGGATGAAGACCTTCAACTCGTTACGAAAATATGTTAATTTACATTTTTTCAAGCTATAATTATGAAGTAACTTTATTTTTTAAACCTAAAAGTGATCAGTCTAAGTATTGTCCGTAGTATGACGCGAAAGTACATATTTTGAATAAAACATTTTAACGGTTTAAAACGCGAAATATATTAGTTATAAAATATAATGTTTTATTTTAGTGATCAGCTTCTTATGTTGAGCTTAACACTATCAATGAACCTCAGGCCTGATCCCAGGGCTTATCGCGCTTAGTATAATATAAGGCAGTGCATTTTTCAACTGAAGCCCAATAGTCAGCCCTACGTGACGGTTTGAATATATTTTTTGTTCTTGCGTTAGTAATTTATGATCTTTCACAAAAACTATTTATTGGCTGCCGCCTAGCAGGGCGATAAACCAGTAATCTAAACATTTTCGTAGAGTAGGGCACACAATTCTGCCCAACCGTAAAAGCTGATCACCCCAACAGACACAGAAATGCGTCTGTCCATGTCTGACTAAGGAAAGTGGGTATTACTTTAATGTTTATAATATTTTTAGGTTAACATTTTATTGTCATACGTCTTTCTAATAATTAAAAAATCAATCACTGAACCTTAACAGTTATGAGCGCAAAACAATCACGAACAACAAAGTTCAGACAAACTGACCGATAAGGGGTAAAAGATATCGCTAATTGACTTCTTAATATGGATAAAACTTAGGATAATACAATTGACAGATAAAAGAAACTATGAATAGAATACACTAGCTGAGTCAGTGACTTCGACCGCGTAGAATATTTATTTTTGGCATCCAAAATGGTTTTTGTAAACTGTTGTTCACGTCGGTCGCGTCCCTTCGTTCTTGCGAGTTCATCTTAAGAAAAAGACATACATTTTTTTGATAATTTAAAAAAGAATCGTTATCGCTGCGTAGCATCCTAAAAGATATAGTTTCCCCGTTTGTTTTACATTTATCGTTGTATATTCGTTTGCGTTGAGCACACATCGCGATGTTTTATAGCTTACAACCTTCCTTGATGCTCTAACCAACACAAAAATATTTTTTCGATACAAACCTGTAGTTCCCGAGATTAGCGCGTTCAAAGAAATTAACAAACTCTTCGGCTTTATATATTAGTGTGAGTATAAATAATATGTGCTTTTGTATTGGTACAAATAAGTCAATATTAATAATGTCCCTCACTTATGATCTAGGTAAGCAACAAATCCAACATTTTTAGCAAAGATAGGCAAAATAGGATAATTGAGAAAGAAAACTTATCTTCGTTAAAGGACATCCTTCCTTAAGGGCGGTTGTATCCTCCTAACTAAATTTTAGGTAATTTCTTCGTAAGAAAGGGTTAGCCGTATCGTCACATAACGCGTTACTCGCGTATTTGAATTACCTTGGTAAGTCATTGCAATGTCATAAGTTAAAGGTGCTTAAACAAGTATGTTTCACAAGGTCTCTTTTATTAATCATTGTATCGAGTGTTTGAGTCTAAAGTACACAGCAGTATCTAATAATAAATACTTATCTATATATATATATGCAGTATTTACAAGAAGATCTCCGATGTACTTTAGCTAAAGGTTACCTTATTTAAGAAGCTATAGAATGTGAACTTTCGGTTTAACATAACATTATCTATCTATACTGATATATAAAGCTGAAGAGTTTGTTTGTTTGTTTGAACGCGCTAATTTCAGAAACTACTGATTTGAATTGAAAAATTATCTTTGTGGTGATTATAATATTTATTGTGAAAAGCTATAAGGCCTATAAATCCTATGTGGCTAATAAGAGCAAAGAAACAGCGGAAAAGGTGAAAAAAAAAAACGGGGAAAATTATTCATCTCAGTGGGTTCCGATGGGCTGCGACAAGGATTCCGAAAAAATATGTATGAAAAAATGATTCCTTAAATGATCTAAAAATGTCCGCGAGACTATATGCCAATCTTTTAAGACTTGCAAGAACAATGGGACGTGACCGAAGTCGTGGGTGTTACCCAGACAAAAATGTATATATTTGAACAAGGGGTTTCCAAAGACAAATTTTGATGCCCAAAATAACAACCCCACGCGGACGAAGCCGCTGATACAGCTAGTTTAAGTTAAGGTTGCTAGCTTTCACAAACACACAGTGAATTGAAATGTTTCAGAATGGCACCCATACGAGAAGAGAAGACGGCAGAAAAGCTCGCGGAAAACATATCGGGGTATTGATGCGGACGATTTCAATAGGAAAGAAGCACGTCTTTAAATAATTGTAAATACTTATGGAGACCCAAAGAAGGAATGAAAAATGTTGTACATTGTTTACCTAATTACACATCTATACTAATATATAAAGCCGAAGAGTTTGTTTGTTTGAGCGAGCTATTCTCAGGAAGTACGAGTTCGAATTGAAATAATTCTTTCGATTTCGATTTTAATAATTCCTTTTTCATTAGACAGCTACATTATCATTGAGTAAAATAGTCTATACTTAGTACTATATTACGATAGAAATCTTTAGAAATTTCTTTTAAAAGCAACGGGAGGCGTAAAAAAAAGTTAGCCACCTGTTGTGAATTAATAAAATCGATCCAGTACTTTTTGAGTTTATCCGTTACATAAAAAAATACAAATAATATAATAAACCTCATAGCTCAGAAAGTACCAACACAAAAATAATTTTTCAATTCGAACTCGTACTTTCTGAGATTAGCGCGTTCAAACAAACAAACTCTTCAGCTTTATATATTAGTATAGATAGATAAGACAAAAACATGTTCGACAATATTATAGAATATATCAATATCTACAAAAAACATCGCGTGACCATAATACGTTTAACTATTGTAGTTACGTTCTATAATACTTTTTTACTTTAACAAATTGATAGAAATGCCGAACAAAATCAAACCGTGTTATCCATATCATTTAAAATTTTTTATTTAAATACATTATAGATTTAAATAATATTTTAAAGTGCGAAAGTAACTCTGGCTGTCTGTCTGTCCGGCTTTAACTCCGAAACTACTGAACTGATTTAAATGAAATTTAAAAATCGAAAATAAATTGAAAAATATTTTGACTCGGGCAGGACTGGAACCGGCTTCGTCAGCGTTCCGTGCTGCTCTTTCAAACGTTAAATGAAATTTTTATTCCAAATAAAGGTCGATAGGGGTTGAAAAAGGGGATGAAAGTTTCCCGGTACCCTGTGGGGTTGGAGTACCCTGCAGGGGGGAGTTGTCAGACTTCCACCGGGCGCGTCCCCAGGTGGCGGATAGGGGAATGGTCGTCAGTGTAGGAATGAGAGTGGGAGTAAGAGTAGGAGTGATTTGAGGTGAGTGTGTTGCGGCAAAGTAGCACTTACAAGTTACAACAAAGATTGGCCCCTAAATGCGCCCTTACATAAATTAATAAACAGCCTAAATAATTAAAAATTCTACGACAAGTCACTATTCCACGCGGACGAAGTCGCGGGCACAGTCAGTAATTGATAAAATGTGACTTTTCAAAAACTCATTCACTCAGTCTTGGTTCACTAACATATCAACACAAAAGATAAATGATTGAGTTTTAGGTATGTGATAAAATAATCAAAGGGACAAAGATTGTAATTCTAATCAAATGTAATCACAATTTAATTATATAATCTATTTATCATAATAACTCAATTCATTTGTTAATCATAGATAAGTTATTAGTTTCTAAGGTAACATTAGCGGATGAAAGTTAACCAAAATGTGCAAAATGGCAGGCATTCAAAAAATGCAAATTGTAAATGGCATTTTGGGGTAACTTTTTATATTCGGATGGTGAAAGGACAAAATTACATTTTTAAATAATGCAAAACTTCTATTAACAACAACAAAAAGTGTAAAACAATGGGTTAAAGCAAAATTTACTCCTATTTCAATGCCAAAAAGATTAAGCTGTTTAATAAATATATATATACTTAATATATCTTCCTTGTGGATTTTGATATTGGATTTCTTAAGCGCAGAATTTTTGGGCAGGCATAACCCCCTACAGCTTATATTACAAATCTTATCAAGTTGAATTGTAGTGCAATATATCTTTTATAAAAAAACTTACCCCTAATACTCCAATACCATCACAAAATTGCCATCCCATTAACCAGTCAATCTCATAACTATGATTCATAATGAGGTATCCATGTTCCTTTCCATAATACTTTTCATATTCATCTTTTTTAACATAAGTGGTCAATTTTGTCCCTGCCCACCATTCCGACATAAACACCAATTCTGAAAATAAGGTTCTATTAGAATAATAATTAATTAACCTTTACTTAGTTTTATTATTACGAAATGCAAAGATTATAAAAGTTTACATTAGAAGTGTGTAATACTTACGACATGCAAAGGAGTATGATAAATAATAATTAATCTTTCTATACAGGGTTTTATTAAATGGGCGGAGACCAAAATATAAAATCGCCTGCACAAAGTTGAGTATTAAACCAGATGTGAAGTAGGATATTGCAAAGCATAGATGCACCAGTGTCGATTGCTTCAAAAAACCTAACATCTTGTCAACTTCCTTTTGTATTCATGTAAGCCTAAAAATAAAACATTACATTGTTATGTAAGTAAATACAGACATATAATATATTATATTATAATACAAATATAGATATAATAATATAAATAAATATACAGATTTATTAGATTTTTTGTTTTTCAATTTTTTTTCTTAAAAACTTGATCTATATACAACTAAAAACTAAGAGTTCTTTTGTATCACAACCTACAAAAATAATTCAAAAACAGTATTTTAGTAAGTACTTTGTCTTAAAGACGAAACTCAATATATCTTAGTTAACCGCATATCTAGTCTAATAAAATAATGACAATTATAAAAATCATCTTTAAATTACATGCTATCTTTTGCTAAAGACTGCATTACAAAAAATATCTATGTTATTAAATATAATAAACGCACCTCAAATTGAAGGTAACTTGGTTATATACGTTTCGCAATTTAGAGTTGCTTATGCAACTTATAAATCAACAGTTAGAGCCGCAAAACGTTATTTTTTTATTATTTTACGTTACATTATATAAAAATATGTATCTACAACATTAATTAGATACTTTTACAATTTTTTTATTTTCAAACACACACAACACTGCGAACGAAATGAAATTTTTAAAAAGAATAATTCGATATGATTGCCAACACTTAAAATAGCACTGAGACTGCCAGTATCTTTATGTGATAAGCAAAAAGCATAGATAATACAAGAATGGTAATATGGTAACAGCAGCTTCAAATGCGATAATCAACGAGCATTATGTTTGCTCTATAATACCTAAAATAATACAATCATCGATCAAAAGGGGATCTCAAGTTCGTAACAATAGACTTGTTAATGAAATGTCTATAAAAATACCACTTTCTATGGTTAGTCAGATTGATTTAAGTATATTATCGTGGCAACTTTGGTTTATAATCTAACTTTTATTTTAAATGCTTGATGTGTTCTGTCATTGGATATTTGTGTCGTTCTTTTATATTTATAAATAAATTCGTGTAAAAAAATAAAATGCACTCACAAAATATTCAACTATTTAAAATACATTATAAATACTATAGTATTTGAATACATTATGTATTTATTATTTATACAAAAAGTTTTGGGTTTTTTCTATGTCAATTGTCAGTACGACTTCAATGTGTTATGTTCCACAGATATTTTAACTAGAGTCGCTAAAAACGAGAGGATTTATAATTATAAAACGATTATTAATTTATTAAATCTTACGGCTATTATGAAATTAAAATATTATTTATACATCTCGAAAAGTACAGTCTGCTTCCTAATATAAATTATTAATCATTGTTATTTTGATACCTATGTTACCAACTGATATATTTAATATTAATAATGTTGAGTTGTTCTTCATCTAAAGTTTCCAGGTTCAGGCTCGTACCCTGTCTCGTTCAACAATATTGTACGGTACAAAAGGAAAGTGTTGTTCTTGGTATTGAAACGTCGTGTGACGATACTGGTTGTGCCATAATTGATAGTAATGGAATTTTACACAGTGAAACATTATTATCTCAGAATGTTATTCATCTAAGGTACGGAGGTGTTAATCCATTAATCGCAAGGGATCTTCATCGTGACAACATTGAGTTAGCTGTGACCGAAACATTAAACAAAGCATCTATGCGAATAGAAGACATTGATGCAATAGCTGTAACTTTGAAGCCTGGACTATTATTTTGTTTACAAATCGGTGTTAAGTATGCTAAGTACTTGTCAAAATCTTTCCACAAACCTTTAATACCTATACATCATATGGAAGCACATGCATTAGTCGCCAGAATGCACCATAATATCGATTTTCCCTTCCTAACCTTATTGATCTCTGGTGGGCATTGCTTATTATCGCTGGTTAGAGATGTGGATGACTTCTTACTTTTAGGTGAAACCTTGGACAATGCCCCTGGTGAAGTTTTAGACAAAGTGGCCAGAAGAATGAAATTAAGAAATTTACCTGAATACTCTGTATTGCCTGGTGGAAGGGCTGTCGAGTTGGCAGCAGAGAAAGCGAATAATCCTTATAAATTTCATTTTCCTATACCATTAAATAAAATGAGAGATTGTAATTTTAGTTTTAGCGGTTTGAAAGATGTTTTATGTAGGTATTTGTATAAAAAGGAGTTGGAGCATAATATAAAAGGTGATGAGATTATACCAGAACATAATGATTTGTGTGCTGCATTTCAATTAGCTATTGCAAAGCATATAGTGCATAGGACAGAGAGAGCTCTTAGATTTTGCATAAGACGTAATTATCTTCCAGAAGATGAAATAAACCTTGTTGTGTCTGGTGGAGTAGCCTGCAATAATTTTATATTTAAATGTCTTGAACATTGGGGTAATAAAACAGGATGTAATGTTTACAGACCACCTTCAAAATTATGTACTGATAATGGAATTATGATAGCCTGGAATGGAGTAGAAAAGATGAAGAAGAGTAATTGCTTTACCAAAATTAACCTCAACAATATTGACCCTGTTGCACCCTTAGGCATCAATATTAAAGACAAAGTTAGAAATGATGACATTTATGTGAAGTCTACAAGATTAAATGATATTTTTCAGTAGTGCAATTATTTTATTTATATAGTACTTTTGAAAAAAATAAAATAAAAAAGTAATTTACAATGATTTATTTAACACAACGTTACACTTGAAAATCATAATTTAAATAAAGCTATAGTTATGACCGTACTGATGCCTATCCATCTACTTGGGTGCAGCATTTTGTAGATCTGAAACATTTCATGTTTAGGTTTTACTTCAAATTGATTTGACACTTAAAATGTGAAAAGTTAGTTGGTGTTGGGCTTCAAAACAAATCTAGACTATACATTTACAATATTAGTCATCAGTCATCACAAAACACAGTATTAAACAAATCATATTATTAGTTTACTTGAATTTTAGGTTGTAACAGTGGGTACATGCTAAGGACAACTCAATAAACACACAGTAGATACCCAGTTGAAGCCTAACTTACGTGTGGGTTTAGTCTTTTTCATCTGTAATACATTATAAAATAAGTTATCATATGCTACAATAAAATAACATTAAAGTTCTTGGATCCTATCTAGTGATTCCTTCAAAATGGAATTGTATCAGACTTTGTGCCATAGGCCGAATGTTTACTTACGAGCTGGTTTTCCATTAGCCCAAGGTGTGATTCTAACGTGCGATTCATCACGACGGACAGCTTCAGTTCGGAGTTGGGGTTTCAGAGATCGTCGCAAAATATTAGCGGCGATGTTTGAGTAGTTTATGTAACTGCAAACGGAAAGGACATAATTAAGGTTTTGAATTTAACCTGGATATTTCAAAATCTTTTCGACCAAAGGCATACTTTAGACCCGCTTGTCTCCAGGCACTCATGATTGATTTAATTCAGGTTTTGTACTTTTAATTCAAAAGTACTGTGGCACACTTGGAATGAGATCCTAAAATTAAATTCTTGAATTCGGAATTCTCGATGTGATGTAACAGTTTCCATAGATGTAAAATGAAAAAGTCCTCTAAATTCTATTATCTAGTCTATGGTCAAAACGTCAAATACGGTACGTCATGAATCTCACGATTGAGACACTGTTATTGTCTGTTGCTCGTGCATATTTTTTTGCCTGTACCTCTTACTTTTTTATTACAATTGTTTTTGCCACTCTTTTGGGATCATCAATCAAGAAAAAAAACTACAAGTTTTATTCGTTTACTATGTGGGTTAATTTTAATCAATGAATAATTTCAGTTAATTCTAAATAATTTAATAAATATGATAGCATCTTGAAAGGGTTTCTCAAATTAAAAAAAATCACATTAAGTGAAGACAGCTGGAACATCAGTGTTACTTTTTGCTGTGTCAATACAATTAAAATAGAAAGCTCAGTTTTATGATACTTCGTTCTTTTCAAATTACATAGAGTCTGGATATTTTAAAATTCTCACTATGTTGATAATATTAAATTTCAATAATTAACATATTACATTTCAGCTACTACAGTATTAAAATGGAATCAGATGGTGAAAGGGAACATTTGTTAGTTAACCAAACACCAAAGGCTGGTGTTAAATGTGATATTGTTAACGAATGTCAAATGTTTTTAAAGGCTGAGGAAGGTGGTGGCGATGCACATAGGATCATGAATGATGATACTGCTTTAGAGACTGATCCAAGTATGGTCACATTTTAAGTTATTTTTATGTTTTAACTACTAACTTGTGCTTAGCCTGGGACTTTTAAAGAACTGTCTGAATTATAGCTCTATTTTTTAATAAGTAGTATAGAGACGGTATGTAAGTTTTATGTTATGTCATGTCTTGTATAGTTATACTAGATTATCTCCTAATAAATTGATAGCAATATTATTTATTATTATTAAATTCTTTATTAAGTACTGTCTCCATTTAAAGCAAGTAGTTCACAAATAAATAACATACTTAATGGTTTAAAACATGAATCTATCAGTTACACTTATTTACAATTTATTTTCACTGCTGCCCCATATTTCTTTGCAGCAATCGTGTTTTGAACTATTAAAAGTATTAATTTAAATTGATTTACTGTATGTAAGTCTTAAGGATTTTAAAAGAATACCGTAGTAACTATTCCAATGTAGCTACTTAATTTTTGTTTAAAGTAATAAGTTATTAATAGCTTAAAACAAAATGCAACTAATGTTATTCTGAACAATCTGTATCAAATGCTTGGTAAAAATGAATATTGCCCGAGAATCTTACATAAAAATGTAGTAAGCTGATTAAATAACTTTGTGCCTAATAAGGCTTCCGTCCTACCTTGAATTTGTCAGTAGAGAACCAACTATCAAATTGTGAATAGGTCATCATGGTTTTTAAACGGAGAAATGGTAGAAAGAAATGTAATGAGTTCTATTTACTAATTTGCTTATCAATGTTACTTATAATGTAATAATAATACTAATTGTTTAAGGTAAAAATAACTTTGTGCCACCACAGGCGGAATCAAAAGAATTTTCTTCAGAAGAAACTTTAGTAGATTCTAATGGCGATAATGAAGGTAATGTTGATAATTATGTTATTTTTTTTACACCGTACTGGCACTGTGTCGGTAAAATTTTGGAGTTTTCTAAAAATACTTTAAATCATCCCAGTGGAATTTATTACTGTCAGAATACAAAATATACATTATTAATAATTTTTACTGCTTTTAAAAATATCTTTACCTCTGTCAAAGACAAAATAGGTAGACAGCGTTGTTTAGATATTATAATTCATCTACCATTAAGTGAACCTCCTGCGTCTCTGTCCTCTACCATTCAAAAAAAAATACTGCTTGACTTTGTAACAAAATTCCATAGGTAGTGGAAGGCAGTCATTAAATGACAGCATTCAAGCACAACATGGATCGATAAGCAATGATTCACCTGATCTTAAGGAGGAGGGCTTGCCTAACACAGTTACTGTGTTAGATGCACCCAATGGTGGTAAGGTGTACTTGGTTGGCACCGCTCACTTCAGTCTGCAGTCACAGGATGACGTGTCACGCGTAAGTATAATGTTCCAAGGTGTACCCCCCCAATTTTGTTTCTGAAGTTATTTCTAAAAGTTCCACATAGGACCAGATTAGGGTGATGTGTTTAGTTCAATTCCTATGATAATAATATAATTCAAATAAAAAAAAACTAATTCAAATGTTTAGTGTTGCAGATGCACTATTAGTCTGCACATTTATTTTTTAGTATTAAAATTAATAGGAGTTAACAATTTAAACTTAGAACAACAGACCATTATGTAGTATAACTAAATCAATTAATTAATGTTTTTAGGTGATTCAAGAGGTATCACCACACATAGTGATGGTTGAGTTATGTGAACAAAGGACCAATATATTGTTACTTGACGAGGAGGTTATTTTAAGAGAAGCAAAGAATATTAATATTAAGAAGATTAGGTAGTATTTTTAAGTGGTTACTGCATAAGACAACACAATTACCATGCACTATTTTGAAACAAAAGAAATTAAAAATTAAATATTTCTACTACTACTATCGTGAATAGTACACATTTATATAAAACATTTCTAATGGTTTAATGAAGATGGAGAGCTACTATTCCTAGCGCCATCTGTTTTCTCGTAATTAGTATAGCTAGCTGGGTCCTTTCAAGTATCATAGTATCCTCACGTTTACCGGTGTTCCGTTTATCGGATTCTAGTGATCTTGAGATGTTCTATTTAGTCAATAAATATTACTACCCAGTGTTAGGAAAAATATTTTAAAATCATATGTATACTATGTTCCTACTCCCAAATTTAATAAGCCTCTTATTACTATATACCTTTTTAAGGTCGACTATGGCGCAAAACGGTGTGTTCAATGGGCTTATGTACATATTATTGTTGAATATGTCCGCGCATATAACGCGAGAGCTTGGAATGGCACCTGGTGGCGAATTTCGTAGAGCTATGGCTGAAGTGAGTATATTTAAATATAGGGTTACTACTGCTCTCATTAATTTTGTGCAACATTTTAGATAAATACCGCTATTTTCAACTGAAAACATATCCAAAATTCATTATTGCACAGTAAAATGTCTGTAATCCAATATTTTACAATATAATATTTCTCACTTTTTCTGGTGCTAGCTCAAATAATGGTTAAAACAGTACATACACTAAATAAAGCCTTCTAAAAAAACAAACATTGTATTTTTTAAAAACGAATCACAAATAACATGGGTGTTTGTGACTCAATAGTTCGTTGTTTGATTTCATAGGAAAAATATTTTGGTATGGGAATACCATTGTTTAAAATAGAATATGGAAGAAAAATTGCGAAATATTATTCCATTTTTGTTTAGTTGGAGGTTGTGTTTTGGGGATTGTATTTTTTTTAAAAATGCGTCTATACGCATTTGTCTTGTCTCAAATAATATGATATATGAGAGTTTACCATTGATATTTTCAGGCAAAGAAAGTACCCAATTGCATAGTTCAGCTCGGAGACCGTGCTATAGATATAACTCTTCACCGTGCCATTGCGTCTCTATCCTGGGGTCAAACTATCCGCTTCATATGGCACTTACTTACTTCTAATCAAAGTATAAGGTAAAAATGCAATTGTTTTTTAGTCTATTTATATATAACTTTAGATATAGTTAACCAAAGTAGTATTAAATATAAATTAAAATCTATTAAGATTGAAAAAAATCGATGACTGGAGTGTGACTTGAACTGGTTTGGCTGTGCTGCTGTTTTAAACAAGTGTGTCTGCAATAACGTGACAAATATTAAAGTTTTGCAACAGAAATTTTGTTTGAAAAAAATAAATAGTTTGGAACTAGACGTTTGTGTTTTTTATTTTGAAAGTTTATACATTTTGTAATAGTGAAAAAAGAAAACAATAAAAATGAATATATCCCACTTCTGATTTTTGGAATATTTGGTTCTACCACATAAATTTCTAAAGTCTTAGATTTGAAAATCTTTACCAAAGATTTCATTAATACAAACACTGTAATTTTATAGCATGTCTTTTGTTTTTTGACAAAACTTGTCTTTTTAAATATACATTTTTGTACATTGAACAAGAAAAAAAAATGACCCAATGTTTATATACTTGAACAGCTTAGAAGAAGTGGAGAGATGCAAGCAAAAGAAAATGCTAGAAGATATGCTGGAGGAAATGGCTGAAGAGTTTCCCGCTCTCAAGCGCGTGTTCGTGGTAGAAAGAGACATGTATCTGTGCCATTCGCTGCAGGTTGCTGCGTTGCAGACCCGTAAGTATCATTGTTAGGAGACTAAACAGACAAAATCTCGAATACTATAAAAGCAAGTGTGACTTGTACTACCCACTACCTCCAAGCCCAGGGAGACTTGCCGACGCGAGCGGGCGGTTAGTTGCCCGTGTGCCCCGCTGCCCGCGCCCGTTGTCCTGCCCGCGTGTTTCCCCCGGCGGCTCGCCCTTCGCGGCGGTTGTTGGCCACGTCTCCTGGCTCGGTCTAAGACCGAGGTTACGGCGGACGCCGGGCGTAATCGCGCCGGCGCCGCCCAATCTCCTCCGTCGGAGAGCGGAGGCGTCGGGAGCAATCTCCCTCGCCCTCTCCCTTCCTCAATGTGATTGTACTGACCGAACCCTACTATGACCCAATGGGCCGTATTCCAGAATATAATTAGACGAAAACAAGTCATTCTCAGTATTAAAATAATATCTTTATTTATTTGTGTATTTACAAATACATATATTGTCATGTATTAAATTTGTGCATAAAGTTTTTTTCTAAGACCAGATGCTTTATTTGGCTTCTAATATATATATATGGTTGCCTGGTAGTTATAGAACTAAAGTCATTCGGTCATCTATTGAATTTTTGTTTTCATACGTGTTGTTGTAATATGATTCTAAATTAAGGCTGCTAGAAGTAGAGTGGCTCAATAAAAAACATGATTTTCAATAAGGATGAAAAAAATGAAAAAAAAAAAAAAAGGGGGGGGGGGGGGGGGAAAAAAAAAAAAAAAAAAAAAAAAAGGGGGGGGGAAAGGGGGGGGGGGGGGGGAAATTTTGGGGGGGGGGGGTTGTGGGGGGGGGGGGGGGGGGGGGGGGGGGGGGGGGGGGGGGCCCCCGGGGCGGGGGGGGCTTTTTTTATTTAAATATGCGCAATTATCTTAGGCGTAAATGAATTTGTACTATTGTTTGTGTAAAAATTATCTGTAGATTAACTATGAAAATATAAATAACTCTAGTCTGAAAATTGCAGTTAGGCAACTCTGCCTCTAGCGGCCTCAATTCTGCTCTACTAATATGATTGTTTTATTACAGGTCGCGAACCGTGTCGCATTGTGGGCGTGGTTGGGATAGGTCATGTGTCTGGTATTGTCGAATATTGGGGTAAAATTACTACCCAAGACATAGCACCTTTGCTCAAGTAAGTTTGTATATTCACTGTAAAGTCAAAAGAGATTAAAATTAAAAAAAAAACTTACTTTGTCTCTTTTTTTTTTTCAGAATTCCGCCACCCTCTCTTTCGACGCGCATACTGCGCGTGTCTTTCCGGGCAGCTTGCGTCGGCGCGCTTCTGTACGCTGGCTATAAGCTTATACCCCGTCGTTGGCTACCCTGATACTCTTTACACAGTAAGTCAAGCAGCTTTATTTTAACCGTAATAGTCATTACTTTTTAAACATTAATTACGCTAGTTGAGAGTATAGTATTCAAATATGTTTAATTCAGTACGGTTCTGTGCCCAGACCGAAGCAATTTTTTGTTTTCTTGGGATTTAAACAAAGAACCATTTCATATACGAAGGCAGTCAATTACATTTAAGAAATTGAGATAATTGTAAAAATATGGTAATATTTAGGACGGGGAAATAGTACAAATTAATTTGTTTCACAGGATTGCTCAAGATGTAAGGATCGGATTGGAATTCAACGGAAAACTCATTCCAAAATCGACCAAAAGTGTCATCAAATGTTTGTTTAATCATTTTAGGCCCACGGTTCGACCGGAACATTTGATTGTTTTAATAATTCTTATGTTAACGTTATTTAAACCGATCTGCATA